AACGACACGACGGTGGATAATACCAGCTGGTAGTTTCCGAGCACGTCAAAGGACCCCCGTGCACGTTTTCTCACCGGAATTCGCTTATCTTCGCCGAAACTTGGATAAGCGATCGGTCCTGAGGCGTTGTTCCGGCGACAGTTACGCTGGACTGATTAAAACGGCGTTTGTGAAAATCGATATGTCGCGATAATCACGAGACGTCGTTTCACAACACCGTCCCTAACTGTCATGTACTTCGTCTTAATACCTAAGATCTATGTTTATGGTTCTGTATTTCTCCTGGAAATCAGCCATGCCGATGCGATACGTATTAACAAATGAGTCCCGGAAATTAATTCGCGATGTTACATTCGTAATTGCGAATTCAACTAAAAAATTTAGAGGAAAATGGCTTTGAGATAGTTGATAGTTCTGAAGATCAGTGCTCGCGGAATTTTTAAAGTTTGAACGTGAACAACTGAAATAAGTTTCGTTTATCGCTTGAACTTCGTGTCAATCGATTTCTTCCCAGACTAATTATGGCCGATATTCATATAGTCAGGTCTTATATTTAAGATCGTCTTAAGTTTATCTTTAGCTGCTGAACGATCTTTATTAGATGCTCGTTTCATTGGCTACGGAGTATCTAAAGATAAACGTAAGACAATCTTATATATAAAATCTTATATATATAAGATCTATGAATACCGGTCTATGTATTATTTGCCTATCGATATTCTATATATAATTCACATCGTAAAACTTATTTCCGTTTGTTGTGATATTATTTTACACTAGTCGAAGCGAGATATAGTATGCTAAAGTGGTAACGTCTAATACAGCGATTGTAAAACTATCCGTATTGCATTCGCATTACGAATTTAGGTCGATAGCGTGACTGTCCATAAATAAAAGTTAATTTGTGTTGAGGTAAATTGCAGTAAAATAAAATAAAGCTGGATTATTTGTATTAATTACTGGTGTTATTTGCAACGATAGCATGATATAATTTTCATTTAAATAAAATAATATGGTATACTTTTAAAGTTTTTTTTCTATATTTTGCGATTATATCAACAAAAGTATTTTTTTCATTTTTTCCAAAATTTTTTCAGTAAAGATTTGATAGCTAAATTATTTTAAATTAAAGATTAGATGAAACAATTGAAATGCAAATACACTATATAAATCATCGAGAATTACCAGGAATGATGTTAGCAATTTAATCATGCATTATTGCGTGCACCGGTATTACGCAATTATTTAACTAGTTGCACAAATTGTTGGTTAATGGTTTGCCTCTTGCGTAATTGTAATAATCAAGGATTTCTGAAAGAATAATTATTTGCCAGCTTATGCTGTCCTAGCTTTTGTTACCCGAATTTTTATTAAAATTCTAGGGCAAGTATCGATCAGATCGAATTATTGTAATGAACATGAAATGCTTCCAATGTATTTTCTATATGATATTTACGATTACTACTGTCTTTATGCAAGTTTCGTATCGATTACGCCAATAACTGTTTTATCAAGAGCTAATCTATTAAAGATTAAAACGTTAAAAATGAAAAGCTATTTCTGTTAAGAAATAATTGATAAGTGCAAATGTGCTAAAGAATATATATATCGAATCATTAAAATAAAAAATCATACAAAAATTTCAATGAATTTTTCTTTAACAAAATTCATTGAAGACTGTACAATAAGACTGATATATAATTAATTTACAATTCGTACAAAAAGCTCTTTATTTGGATTCAGTTTCTCACTAGCGAATAAATAATGATTTGAAATAGATTAGTACTTATTTGTTAAAACAGAAATAAAATAGCAATCAACCAAATAGAGAAATAGGAACGAGATGCCGATTAAGTATACTAACGTTTTTTTTCCAAGTAATCTCTTCTAACTTCTAACCGTGTAACATCCAACAGTTTCCAGCAAGTCATCCAACAGGCAAAAAAAAACAATCTCAAATTGGTCGAGAAAGTCAGCGCAAATGTCTCGGACACCTTGTATATAGAGTAGTACTAGCTACGCGAAGTGGCCGCTTAACTATCACGTGTCATTATAATGCCTCTTATTCCGTTAACGTTAGAGATCGAGCGCGTGCGCCTCGCTCGCCCGCTCGCTCGTTCCGACCTGTCTGTCGTCGTCGCGATTACGCGCCACTTGTTAACTGTTAAGGACAGGTGGAACCGACGCGCGCGCTCACGATTACCGCTTACGTTCCGTCACGACACACGAAGTTCAAGATAAGAAGAAAATTTGCAAGCCTGCGACACCGATCCCGTCATCCTCCAATGCCCGCGCGGAATTTGTCGTACCGCCGGCGGCTTTCTACTTTTCCGCGCCGAGCGTTTAAGGTAAATCAAATCAGATCGTTCCTTACTCGTGTCTCAATTGCACCGGCGATTTCTACAAGACGTTGAAATTTTCAACGTTTAATGTGGAAAAGAACCTTTTGCGAACTAATCCATTTTCATCTCGATCCTTTAGCCGCAACAATGTAAAGCGTGCTTATTCACACAGTTTAAGAAAATTTGTTAAATTCGAATTATATTAATTTGATATTTGTACAGAATATGAAAAAGTAATTCAGACATTATAACGGTGATGTTTATGATTCATCAAAAATCACATTTTAAAAACTTTAAACAAAATATCCATTCTTAATTTCTAGTTGCTGAAAATTATCTTTAATTAAGAATCCTAGTGAAATAACTTTAGGTAAACATATAACCAAAAGCTGAAATACATGTGCACGATTAAATTTCCTCTCGGTGTCATTTACAGAGATCTCATGGAGCGTGTCTGTCGGAGAGGGAACATGACCCTGTTCCATCATTCGTCACGTTCGGCGCGATAGATCGACCGCGGAAGGTCGTCAAGCGGTAAAGTCATCCGGCAGTGATCCATGTGCAGCCACCAAAATGAGGTGGGAGCCAATGGTCTCGAGATCGCGCGGAGAGGTGGAAGCGCATTGAACCGACGCCGGCAGCAAATTGGACCACCTTCAAAAATTCACCGCTCGTTAAGCACCGACGCGAGACGCGAGCGACGTAACGCGACGCGATGATCGGCGAGGGCGACGTCGCGCATCGCTAATCGGCGATTACGAAGCGTCCGCACGCGAGCGAAACGCTAGGATGCGGTATATGTATATCTCGGCGGCGCACGAGAGATTCGGTATACGAGGCGACGCGACGCGGATTCGCGGACTTACGTGGCGGGTTAAATATAAGCGCGACGCACGGCGTCCCGACGTTCGCGCCTCTCTTCCACGTAGGCGTCATATAGGTAGTCGCAACGAGATAATCCGAATGCTTGGACACTCCGTGGAAGATTACGCTGTCCTTGAAATTCGCGGAAGTGCGAAAAATGATATTTGTTGTGTAATTTAAAACGACTCTTCGTCGCTGCTCTCGTGAAGCTGGCCTTTGTAACAACATTACGATCTTCCCGAGATTAGACATGAATTTTGTAAAACGATTTCATATTATTGGATACTATATTATGTAAACGTCAGGTTATCAAAGTATCATGATTGAAGATATTCGAAGATGTATGTTATAAATTCTATATGATCTCAATCTTTAATATCTCAATCTTGCTTGCTGTAAATTTCCAATGATTCCGATGTTGAATATATATATATGTGAGAATTGATTTAAAACACGGATACCTCGTACCACCAAAAGAAATTAAACCGTATTACAGCAATACCGCGAAGGTTTTATAAATTTATTTTGACCTAATAAAAATGACATTTGAGAGTCGAATAAATAAATTTTGCTAAATTTCCGTAGAATTTTTTTGTAAGAGTTTATGCTTTTAATTAACCATCAAAATATGTTTCCTAAATTAATAAAAGTTAGTACTGAATTTAAGCGTAAAATGTGCCTGCACATCCGTGCTATATCACGCGCGAATTAAAATATTCACGTGCGTTTACATAAGTTAGCTGCCATATTGCCGAGCTGTCTGTAAAAGGGAAATATGTACACGCGCCTGTTGGAGCATCCCTCTCCATATTAACAATATTGCCGCGCTATATCCCGAAATTGATCGAGAATTCTACATCGGCGACGCGTTTCAACTAAAAAAACTATCAGGCAGAGTATATCGAGCTCGATCGTGCCCTCGAGTCATCGCAAATCGATCGGAGCGGTAGCTCTGCGACGAACAATTATCGGGAACAAGTGAGATATCACGCGGTATGCTCCTGTTTATTCGGACCCGAACGCCCTTAGGGATGTTAAATTCTTTCACGTGCTCAAATATGCAACGGATTTATTGGCGTATTTTACAGATCGATATTCGCTGTCGAAAATCGTGCTAATAATTCATGCTTCGGTATTTCGAAACTAAGTAGGTAATTAAAGCCTTTAATTATGATTTTAAAACGAAATTTGAAATTAATCGAGTTTAAGAGACCGCGACTTTGTTATTAGCCTATTACAGTCAAACACATTTTTTCATTATAAGCATAAAATATGCAAGTCTTTATCTCTTTACATTAAAGAAAAATATTAAAAATTTTCAACAAGAAGCACGTAGCACGATACGATAAAAAGTTTTGCATAAATTAAATACACACATTCGTCAATTTATGTTCACAAGCATAGTATAATGCGCGGTAAATTTATTTCTAGCAATTTCATCTTTTATCTTTTAAGAGAAGATGTCTGGTTAAATTAATGTTGTAATAAAAAACTTAAAGAGACGTAAAAAAGTGCAACAAGTGCCACAATAAAAAAGTTCAGAGAAACTTATTTCTCTCTAAACAATATTCAGTCATTTGTGAAGAAATTGTACGAGACATTCTGTTTTATATTCATTTCGTCATAAATATTTTAATAAATTCTCCACATTCACACTATTAATTATTATCAGCTGCAGTTTGGAGCAAAATGGTACTCTCGCTTTTCTTTACGTCGAACTTTCGAACATTTTCTATCAGCACGCATCCGATCGACTAATCAGGGATTATAGATCGCATAATTTTTAGGACTCACCGTAATCCGGTCGAACGACAGCTTGGACGACTTGTTCGTTCTTCTTGTTTCGGATCACCGGCTCGCCGAGGATCGTGAAGTTTCTGGGTCCCACGCGATTCACAAACACTAGATACACTTTGCCCCTTTTAATATTGGCTCGCACCACACCACTCAGATTATCGCGCTGTTGCTGCTTGTTGCCCTTGTTGCCGGCCTCGTGGCTGTTGCACACGGTCGACTTGCCAGGCACCAATTTGTCGCGGAAATGCAGCCGCACGCTGTCGTTCTTCTGCAACGGCTGAAAGCCCGGCTGGCTCTTGTATACCTGCTTCACCTCGAAGGTCACCGCGTAGTTCAGGCCGGGCTTCCTCCGCGAGGACATGCTGCGAGCCTTGCCCTCGAACACGGTGGGCGCCAGGTAGGCCCGATTGCCCACGTCGACATCGGGACACCAATTCTGACCGCGGCAGCCCCGGTCCTTGTTTCTGCAACGGCGCCGCTGCTCGCGCGGCGAGTCCGCCCTGGTGCGGTTCTTTGGTCTCTGCTTCGTCGATCTGGCGATCCGCGGCCGCTGCATCGACGACTCCGCCGGTGTCGACACGACCATCGCCGGGGGATACGCAAGGGGTGCCTGCGTCGAGGAGTGACGGGGCGCGCGAGTCAGACCGGAATCGTTTATCTCCGGGTGAAAGACGCCGCGTAATCCGCGCGTCTCCGGCGTCTCGACGGCGGGGAGGGTGTCCTTCGCGAGGTCCTCCGGTCGGCCCTCGGGATCCGGCGCGATCCGCCGAGTTCCAGGATCCACCTCGGGCGACGTCGCGCCACGTGTCGTGAAGTAATACGCGATCTGTCGCGCGTCGCTCTCCGACGATCGTTCCCCATCTCTGAAGGGGTCCTCTTCGAGACTCACCAAGCTGAAATCGAGGTCGCGACGAACGGGACGAATTTCGGACGACGAGGGTCCCGACGGGCGTGCCTGAATTCCTCCTCGCGACTCGCGGTACCCCGTAACGTCGGCCTCGTCCACCACGCTTATCGACAGCGGACGATAATGCCTCGCCTCGGTGATGCTTGTCGTCGCCCGGGACGTTTTCCCGAGGGTGTCCCGAATGGCGGGGGGTGCCGCAGCGAGCGCGAGTGCGCCCCACCAGCCGCTTAAGAACCCGGCCAAAAGCAGAGGCGCCCACATTATCCAACCTGATTAGCTGATGTGATCGGGGGTGAGGTCGAGACACCTCGGTCACCCCGACTCCGCACAGTGGCACGCGCTTCTCGCCCCCCTCCTCCTCCTCCTCCGCCTCCGCCTCCTCGAGCCTCGGGGAGCGTGCCCGCTTTGCGCCGATGCATCTGGACGGTTTCTTGTCCTATGTTAACCGAGTTCCCGTTCCCCGTGATCTTCCTCGTTGTTTCCCCCCTCGCGATTAGTCACCCGCGGCGACTCGATTCACGATGTCTCGTCCCGCTCGCCAAATGGCTGGAATCGCGGTTGTCGTCGTCTTCCTCTTCCGGATTCGAATTCCCTCACGAGGTGTTGTACCACCGGTAGCGAAACGTCGGGGTTTCTTCCATATTCCTCTTCATCCTACGCGACACTATTCTCCTCATCCTCAAGGTTGGCGAGAGCAGCCGTGGCGAGCCGCACCATGCGGCCGCTTCTCTCTCTCTCTCCTTATCCTCGCGTCTTCCACTCTCTCCACGGGAAGATATCGTATTATCGCAGATGATCCCGTCCGGCGGCTGCGACGATCGCGGACGCGACAACCAGCATGGATCTCTCATAGGTCGTGATCATTATGACGCGCGATCGGCACGATCATCCTGCTCCGACTTGAATCGGGGCCTCGTCGATCGTTTACGTCGCGAGCCCCGACTTCTTTCACGATCTCCGATATCTTGACAGTCGGCGAACCGGAGTGACGAGTATAGTCGCTCTCTCTAGTCCACGTGCTCGCTCGCGTTCGCAGGCAGACGGAACTGATCGACCTCGCAGCAGGAAACACCCGCGACCGTCCGATCCGTCAGCGACATCGAGTCGTGCGGAATTCCGCGATTGTCTCGTCAACCCCTCGCGCGAGACTCGGTGTCGCGTTCCGAGGCGGGAAAAGTGAGAAAGAGAGAGAGAAAAAGAGAGAGAGAGGGAGAGAGGGAGCGGGACACGGTGGCCAAAACGAAAGATTCTCACAACGGAGGCAAAAACGGGAATACGAAAACGGCAACGGCGGTGGCGACGACGACGACGACGACGACGACGACGACGATGAAGAGAGTGTTGGTTTCCTCTCTGATCAGCCGAGACACTATTTAAATATACCCACGAGACGACCGCTCCTCTCTCGACCGTGTACGGCCACCCGCACGCTCGCTCGCGCACTACACTCCTCGGCCCGACGCTTCACCACTCTTGCGCACGTACGATACCGTTTTTCGGCACGGGGGCCACCCTTGCCGGATCCGCGTGACAACGAAGAGGGAGGAGGTTGACGAGGGAAAGAGACGAGTGCGAGTAATTAGGAACCGTTGCCACTCGCGCGCTATCACGCTCTCCCCGTGCTCCGTTTTCGCAAATTTTTTTTCTCTCTTTCTCTCTTTCTTTCTCTTCTTCCCTTCCCCCCCTGTTCCTTTCTCTCTTCTTTTTCCGTCTATCTCCCTCTCTCTCTCGCGCGCGCGCGCGAGAAACCGCTTCCTCACGCGCGGAGATGGTCGCGCGCCGCGGCCTCCGTGCAGGATCGTCGACGACGGGTGATCGGGTCGCGTGTGCTGTCGCACGCGGCATACACACACGAGGGCGCCTCGCGTGTCACGCGTGTCCGCGAGAGACCGGTGGAAGGGGAGAGAGAACGTCGGTGGCCCCGCGTCGGGCGCGCGCGACGGTTCAAATTAGACTGAGCGGCCCGCTCGCGCAGGCCGAGGCCGGCCACAGCGCCAGCGGCGCCTGGCGGACGCCGGTCGAGGCTTGCGCGCGCACCGCGGCCCGCGCGCGAGTGAGACGGAGCGACGCGGTGGACGGAGCGACGACGGGACCTTTAAGAACCTGTATAACAACGACCTAACAACCGAAGGAACCGCACGCGTGATCCTCCCGTGGTCCGTCTCTCGCGCTCCCTTTCTCTCTTTCTCTCTCTCTCCGTCTCTCTTCCCCGCGAGTTCCGTCGCCATCTCTCTCTGTCCCTCGCGCTACATCTTTTCTCTCTCTCGCGCTCTTGCCGTCTTCGCCGTCTTCCCCGAGAAAGAGAGAGGCGACGCTCTTTATCTCTCGCATTCGGTCGTACTCCTTACTTGTGTGTACGGCTGTTCGTCATCTTTTAAATTGTGTTCGGAGATGCTCTCTTCTTCTTCATCTTCCTCCTCCTCCTCCTCCTCGTTCTCTTCTTTTCTCGGGTTCTTCTCCCTCTTTTCTTCTTTTACGTCGTCTTCATCTTCTCGCCGTCTTCTGCCTCCGCGCCGCGCGCCGGGACGCCCGCCGTTCCTCTTCGCCTCGCGCGAGCTGGCGAACGTCATCGGACTACCGAAAATAAAGTCTTCCTCCGCTTTCCCGTCCTCTCTCGTCTCTCGCTCCCTCTCTTTCACGCCACTTCCGAGTCGAATATATACGCGCGCGAGCGAAGAGGCTTTATAAGTGCGAGGCGCGCGCGAGAGGGACGCGAAAAGGAGCGCCTCGCACCAAAAGGAACTCTAGCCTCTCCTTCTCCGTCTCCCTCTCGCTCCCGCTCGTTTCCACTCTTTCTGCCCCGCCGTCTGTCTCGAGCACTGCCAATCAAACGGTCCTCCATGAGAGTCGGCCTCTTAAACGGATAGTTTTTCACGCTCGCCGCGTGACAGATTAATCCCGGGCTAAATGGCGACACTTAAGCGCGCCCCGCGCACCGTAATTAACGCCGCAGCGACGCGCTCGTCTACTTTTTGCACTTTCCCGCGCGCGCGCGGGAACCCGCGCTCTCGGACCCTACCGAATTCAAACGATCCGTCCTGCGGCGAGGATATTATCCCGCGACCCGTCAACGCGTAGTTATTTGGATACGTTCTTAGGTCAATTGGAAAGACTACGTTAATTTTTCGTTTCTCATCTCAGATCTTCTTGGCGATACTTCATTAAATTCTTAACTTGGAGAGCCTTTTAATTAAAACGCCCTCACGTTGCCCCTATTTAAACGAAAGCGATTTAATTATATTCCGCACAGCCAGGTATGCAGAAACGCAATGAGATTTTACATCGTACGCTTAAGTCGTGTAGCGGCCTTGTTTCGCGAATAATAATTTCGCGAAACAATTTTGAGCTCGAAGGTCCGCGTTTTTCTTTTATGTACGTACAGATAACGCACACGATTATTGACATTTCAATTTATTTCGTTTGTACGGAGATATCTGGGACAGTTAAGTAGATTTGTCTAGTCGACTAGTAATAACATTATAGGATAGTTAAAAGGTAGCTGCCACACAGAGTCGTAATATTTTTTCGACTAATAAAATAGATACGGTATACGATATAATTGGTCATCATTGATGTAAAAGTCAAATGGGTACGGATAACAAATGAACGCACGTGATTTATGTCGGGTAGATTTAGTTTTATGTCCGATATTTATTTTTTATCGTGCCAATTTCTTGTATTTACTCCGACAAGATTAATATCGTTCTTTCCAATCCTAGCTTCGCATTATAGTTACAAATTGTTTCGAGCGATTCAGCAATTATTTTTGAATATAATAAAAATGTTGCTTTTTTTTGGTCAATATATTAGCAAAAATTTTGTTCTACTCTCGTTTAAAAT